ATTTTCAAATTCGTGTACATCATGATGTCCTAAATTTTTATATTCCATAAGATGCACAGTAATTCTAGAATTTCCATGACAAAAACTTTGATAATGTAAGAACATTGGCTTATAACAATTTTGACAAATACTAGTAGAGTTAGTAATCAAGTCTTCAATATATTGGCCAATTGTACGATCAGATTCTCCGTAATACTCCATAACTAAAATTTCAGGTCTTATACATGGTTTATGAGTTTCTTCACAAAATTTTGTATATAATATCGTGATATTTTGAAAGGCATAAGGACTAACAACATTATTAAATGTATGACTTTTCCATGCTTTAGCCTGATAATCATATTCATCATATGCATCATTATACTCCCCTTCGGCACAGACCTGTTCTGGAGTACGTAGAATACCAGATAATCCAGTAACTGAGCTCGATTGTGACGGATGTGATTTCTCACTATCTTTTAAAGAACCAGTTTGCCATCCTGAAACATGTTTCTGATTTAATTCTGCTAATTTACGCTCAGCTTGTATCATTTTTGTAAGCAAATAAGGAGGAGGAAATTTGATAAATGGTGACACTGAAAGAATCCTAGTTTCATATGGTCTTACAATATCCTGTGTCTGCTTTGAAATACCAAGGCTTTTACTTTTACAATCTTCGTCATCATTTTTTCTATCAACCAAATTTAGATCGTAATTTAATCTTGCGAATTGCTTTAACAACAAAGCTGTTTCCAATTTAAGGTTGTAAACCACAAAAACCATAAGATCAGTAATTTGTTTGATCTTTTTCAATGTATTTATATCACCACCTCGCAACACTATTGTACAACCTAGCTCTCTCGGACAATTTTCAAAATATAGATAAGTTTTTCTTCTACCTGGAATAAGTTGATGAACAAAAGTTTTAACAGAGAATGATCCACATTTCCCTAATTTTGGCTCCGAAGTCAACTTTTCAATTGATATAATGTCTGCCCTTGAACAACGAGCAACAGCCTCTATAACAGACGATTTAACATTTAACGCAACGGATATATTTTTCTCTAATAAAAACTGTAAAGCTTTTCTAGCAACAGTTTTTTCAACTAGGACCAAATGAGGTGCTAATGCGGAAATACGAGCAACTAAATTTTTTAAATGTTCCTCCTCCTGAGCAATCACGGGATCTAATGACATTAATTGATTTTCTACCCTGTGATACTCCAAGGCAAAAGTTAATATGAGCACCCGAGGACTCACAAGAAAACGGGGCATCTTTTTATGTGCTAAATTTTTCGTGCAGACAATTCCATGTACATATTCAGAGTCTTGAGGTGCTCCTCCAGGAATTTTTTTAATTTTAACATAATGACGAATATCAATTTCATCACCATTACGAACATTTGGATTTAAATTATCAGCCACCTTCATCACTAATTTCATTATGACATCTTCCCATCCTCCAGATAAATCTATCTGAGATTCTTGAAGAAGTTGACGTAAAAATTGTCTCATGTGTTGCAGAGAAATAGGATTCACTTCAAGTTTTACAGGAACTGAGGGTGACTTGTTATGACGGATGTTAAGAGGCGAGGATGGTCTTGGTTCCATCTGTGAGAAATCCATGACGTTTGTATTGATTTGCTTAATATAGACACCTCTTTTCATGGGACGAGTTGGACGAGCATTAGAAATGCTTCTTCTATGATTAGAAGAATAATTTTTATCTTTTGGATAAATGGCTCTAGTATCTTCATTTCTTTGAGGTTTTTGCAAATTTTTTGCTTGTAATTTGTTATAATCGGAAGATTCATCATCACTTCCAGCATATTCTGAGGCAACAGGTGTTGGAGTAGCAGAATCATTATTAAGATACGAAACAGCAGAAAGATAAGATTGATTGGTTAGTGAATCATAATTAACGTTACAATCATCATCATTGCTCATGAATGGGGCGATTTCAGGATCTAAGACAGCCTCAGCATTTGCAGCAGGAGTTACTTTATCTTCTTCCGGTAGGCTATGTCTAAATGGTGCAGGTGACGATGATAAAAATGTATTACTGTCATCTACGGCTGTATTTGATCTAGATCTTGTCATAAATAATGAGGAACCAACCACCAACATTTTTTTGATACCATCGTTAATTGAAATTGTATCAGGAGATGGAGCTCTTTGATTCACAAGACCAGGTGTTGGAGGTGCCAATGAATAAGAAAATTCCGGTTGTGGATTAGGGCTAATGACATTATAGTTGTCTGAAAACATTGTTAATTGAAGTTGCCTTTGAGGGATCATAAGTGAGATGTCATTTTGCCTTATATCTGATTCAAAATCAGAATATTCATCATGGCAATAATTACAAACCCTTATTGATCCATTATGATTAAATCTTGCGCCAGATATTATATTGGAGGAGCATTTGTAACAAAATATTTGACCTTAAAATTACCAAAAGTTGTAATTAATAAACTTAATATATATATATATATATATATATATATTAATTAATAAATTAAATTATAATAAATATGCTTTGAAATAGAATCAATAAAGAAACTTGCCACAAAGACGACAATGATGTTTCCTTTTCAGAAGATTGAAAGTAGCTTTACAATCATAACATTCTTTACAAGTATCATCAGCCATCCAATAAACTCTATTGACACCCTCGCCGCGTATTCTGCGAATAGCTTTACTGACCGAGTTTTTTTTGATAACAGATGATGAATTAATTTGAAATGGTTTTACTACTCTTGAATCAAATGCATCATTCAAATATCTGACTTGATATTGTTGATCAAATAATGTAGTTGTGAGATGTTGAACACCGTTGGCCTTTTCAGATATTAAATTGGTAGAATCATTTAAATTGCCATACTTTGTTGAATAATCTTGTGTCATAGGTTCTGACTCTAATAAAAGCACCGGAGCATTGTCAAATAATGCAGCTTCGAAAGATATAACAGGTGGTGCGAGTGTTACGCCTTGAACAAAACCTTTTTTTTCCTTGTCAGGTAATAAAAGCGAAGTCACAGAAGGTTTAGTTGGTGAACTGTTGTTATTTTCTTGAGTTCCATTAATTGTATTGTTTGCATTAGTAGAATTCGTATTACTATTATTATTGTTGTTGCAGTTGTTAATAGTAATGGTAGAGTTACTTGTGATGTCAGTAGTATTTTTGGGTAGAACTTGTGTAGATGCATAAATTGTTGTTGAATTACCACCAGGAATACTAAACGAAGTTTTCACACGTTGAAGTAATTTAGAGATTACATTTTCGTTGTCTTCTTCAAAGGGTCTTTCAAAGTTAAAACTGGTCAAAGTAAAATTTTCAGTATTTTGTATTTTACTGTTATCATTATAAGTGTTATGAGTTTGAAGATTAGTTGACATCTAACAAATAAATTATTTAATTATAAATTTATTTTTTTTTATATATATATAATTTTTAAATTTTTTATAATTCATATTTACGAACGAATTTGGAAAATTAAATATTAATATTAATCAATTAGATGATATAATTGCTTGCCACCCACTAATACTAACGTAATTCTAAAAAGTCTTAATTTTTAAAAGCCTTACCAAATTAAGAACAGTGCTAAGATAAATTACACGAATTTGGTAATTATACTTAGTCCCGCAACTTTTTATTGGTCATGTAGATCCTTCAAATCCTCCAAAAATAGAAATGCAACACCCCAAAATAAATCGTGTTTTCGAAGCCAAGACTTTCCTCTACAAAGTCACGACTTCCATCTCGTTGATATGTCATGTTGTTGCGGAGGATTTGAGCTTCAAAGTTGCCCAAGTTTTACCGAGTTTACTATGTTTAGCCCTGAAATTGACGCATTACACATAAAAAAAGTTAATATCCATGCATAATTATGCCAAACTTCTGGAAGACAGTCTTCACTTAATGCTCCAAATGCCATAGAAAGCATCTAAATAGGAAATATGATAAATAAATTTTTTGAAAAAACAATTAAATATTGAATTGAATCAATTTTAGATGGACCATATTCGAATCAAAGATTTTTTTCTTTGGTCATTACTTATGTGAATAGAAGCGGTTGCAAGAATAACACCCAGTACCGAAATGCTTTGCGGCTAAATATAACACATGGATTAACACTATATAATCACAATATTAAGCGTTTATATTTTAACAATACTTACAAAAATAAACCAATTTTGCTTCTAGTGGCGATAACTGGAATAAAGGCACCTAGTATTTAATAATAGTGTAATAAATGATTTTGGATTATAATCAAAATAAATTAAATGATTGGTTATTTGTTTTTACCTAATGAACTTGTTATAAGAATTATAAAGAATGAAGTGATATGAAGACTTGGATTATATTCTTCAGCTGTACAACCATTATCACCACAAGAATCTAATACTTTATCTGTCGTAGGTTCTCCATTCGAATTTATATCATCTACGCATAAAGAAAAGCCACTACTATTACTATATACTATTATTTCACAAAAGTTTTGAAAAATATAAATATATTATTTGGGACATACTGCAACAAAACCAGATTAAGTGAACATTATATCACATATAATGCAGGGTTTAAAATTTAGTGTAATTGTGATAATATTTTTCTAATAACCTTTAATCAATTAATTTTATCATTAGAAATTTAATTCTGACCTTTTCATCATTTAATTTATTTAAAAAAACAATCTAAATTATATATACAAACTTTTTTGTTACCATTATCCTATTGATGACACTAATACTTAATACTTACAAATGGCTTTAGTCTGAGTATTTTTCTCCTACACAAGTGCTCTGACAATTCTTTAACTTATATTTTTATAAATTATTTCTATTATTATATAGTTGGATTAATTTTCTTTTAAAATTCCAAGTCATGTGCCCACTAATTATCATTGGTGTAACAATTAATTGATGCTATATATAAATGATTGTCATGTGGTTTATTATAACAATCCGATATATTGAAATTTTAATAGTAATATAACAAGTGGGGTGTCTTCTTCATAATGAAAGTGGAAAGTTCAACTGAAGAGTATTGTATTACAAGTGCAAAAATTGATGGGAATTAGGTTTGATCAAGCAATTTACCACTGAGCGGGGTATAAATTTGTTATTTTGGTTGGAACCAAAAGAGAGAATGCAGTACCAGATGTTCAAGGACCATTAACAAAAAGAGCAAAGTTTCATGTAAATGCATTATCATTTGATCAGAGGATTTTGGACATGATCCCAGATATGATAGAAGATGAGAAATTTCATATGAATGTTAGATGGAGTTTGAAGATGCTTGAAAAATCAGTTCGTCTGGATGAAAAGCCTCTTATCCAAAATTGCATATAGCTTTCAGTGATGACTATGAAGACCCTGGATGTCCTGAATTGATGTATTAATAGACATTTGGAGCATTTGTGTTTGAATAATAGTATCTCCATTTGAAAAATTATCATCAAAGTTAATAAAATATTCAGAGTTATTGTGTTTTATTTTTTAAAAAATAATTTTTACAAACAGAGCATGACTTGAAATAAATTTGATATTGTAAATGAAATTATAGCTTTATACCAATATAATTATCAAAAAATGCAGTAATAAAAAAATTTACATCTTTAACATCTTTAGTGATTTTTTAATTGTTTGCTGTTCTACATAAAATTATAAAATTATATATATAGGAATAGGTGTATATGAAAAACAATAATAAATACAAAAGCAATTGATTTTTTAGAAAAAGGTTGTAATTGCGTGGATGCTCTTCAAGAATTCCCAAGGGAAATTTTGCAGAATTAAGGGGATTCTTTCAAGCTCTTTCTAAAACAGAACAAGACATATTTTTAATGGACCAACTTAAAGCAATGGGTGGTGGATCAGCAAGCACTAGCAGACGCCTTAAAAAGAAAACTTGATCTAATAAAAGAACTTTCTATCATTGGGATCATAATATGCCTTTCTGTCAAGAAACTTATCTCAATATGTTAGAAATTGGCAGAACTTATTTCGAAAATATTAGAAATCATCTGATAAACAATGGTCTTCTGTCAAGAGTTTATGGTAATATTAAAAGAATGTCTCAATGGAAAACTAAGATAGCAATTGAAAAAGACATTACCACAATTGTAAAGAACTTTCTGGGAAATTATGCTGAGGTTCATGGATTGCCAAGTCTAGGAAGAAGTAGCAATAAAATAACTCAATCAGTTGTATTTTTTCCAGCTACAAATCAGTCCACAGAGATTTTTTGGCTGGTCTGAAAGAAGATAACAAATTGAAATCTTTAAAATATGATGCATTCAGAAAATTATGACATCAATTGGCACAGATACTTGTCAACATTTTCGAAATACTATGGGTAATTATTCTTTATCATCGTGTGTATACCTTTACATTTTTATTCATTATTAATATATTAATATTAATATGGTCACGTCATCTATAAGTGAAGTTTTAAAAGGTAAACCTTGAGTTCAAAGAAGTCATCAATCGTTAATGAATTAAAACATTCACGTAGTAGTGCAATTAATCTTTTATGTACAAATATTATAAATAAAAGTGAATTGAAGGGCAACCTTTAATCAATTGACCATTTGGGCATTGTAAATGATGTTTTTAATTCGTGACTCTCCATTTCACCGTTTTTGCAGTTTTGTCATTTTTCTAATTAATATAAAAAGGATAATTATTCCCTTTCCAATGCTTTGATATAATAAATACAAACCTTACAGTTGTATAATAAATTATCCCATTTTCAATTAACAATTATGATATAATATATTTCTTTTTGAAGAAAATGGATGAATGTGATCAAGAGATTAATGACTTTTACCAAGAGGATGATTGAATTATTATTAAGGCAAATTACTATTTCTATACTTTAAAAAAAATCTTCAACCGGTCAATACCTGATATACTCTCATGCTCCTTGAACCCTTAGAAAAGGCCACAAAGCACCTTCCAGCGTCATTATATCCAGCTATGGGCGATATTCGTTTTGTCTTTGGAAGCATCCAGGTGCATTTACAATAATAAATAAAAGGAAAAGGTTTCACACAGAGTGAAATAGCAGCAAGTATTGGCATGGATCATTATTCAATCACTTCAATTTTAGGCATCTAAACCAACTCTCGGTCTTTTCAGAAGAAATAGACAAAGTGCTTGTGAACATATTAAAACAATTTTTGAAACTTTCCTGAAGTACTTTTCAATACACAATCTCCTGTAAACTATCATCAATGCAACTCGTTGATTTTCATCGTAATCCCGCATCTATTATGAATCATGTACGTAAAGAAATAAAAATTTCAGTCATTATGCAACTCTACAATAAATGATTTTTTTGATAAAATCTCTCTATTGCATTAAAACCAGAGATCTATTCTATCAACCAATAGAGCTATTTTTTTAAAAGGTGGGATATAATGTGACTTTATACTTTTAAAATTTGTGCAAGTCAATTATACAATGTTTTTAACGATTTTGCTCTTGTGCTTCAGTTTAATAAAGCCAAAGAACAAAGACCGTTTTGATATAAATTTGAAATTTTCGCATTAATACTTAATAAAGAGTGGTCTGAATGAAGTTTCCTTTTTGAAACAACAGTCGGTTGGTTTCAATGAGAAAAATTGGCAAGATTTTCAAAAGTTTATTAAATGAAAAAACATTATAGAAATTTTTTTTATTATAAATAACGTTAACAAAAAAAACTCCCGATTTTAAATATTTTTTTTTGTAAATTAAATATGAAAGAACGAATTGAATTAAAAATTAGTTGTAAAAAACTTGATGTTCTTTCAAATAGTGCTCTCCAAGTCTTGTTATCAGTAAAAGATGCCAAAACACAGAAATGGAGACCAACATCTTATAAAACTGAAGTCATAAAGAACAATTTAAATCCAACATTTGTAACTGGGTTTGTTGTTGATTACGTATTTGAAGAATTACAAGAATTTAGGTAATTAGAAAAGTTTTTCATTCATTCTTTCAAAAAAAAAAAAAACCTTTTCTTTATGCTTTCCAAAAATATTAGATTTATATGTGTAAATGATACAAATCGAGAGCATCAAGACTTTATTGGCCAATTTGAATGTGATTTAGGATCAATTGGTAAAGTTTTAAATTATAATATTATGCACTATATATTCTGAACAATTAATAATTTAATGGAATCATTTCGATTTAAGTTGCCAGTGAAGGGGGAAAGATGGTGGGATTTTTGACTTCACCTAATCATCCTGGTAAAAATCATGGACTAATAATTATTTCAGCTGATTCTAAAAGAAATCTAAAGTCGGTAAAAAATTATTTCTCATTTATATTATAATTAATTGAGAATATTGTGAATTAATGTTAAAATTTTGTTTATTAATGAACAATTAGATTACAGTTTCAAGCATGTAATATAGTTAACAAGGTGATTTATTAAAGAATTGATCATAAAATTAAGATATTATATATTAATATATCAATTGTTGACACCATTTAGGGGAAATTTTTTGGAGCAAAAGCAACTACATTTTTGGTTATTAGTAGAGCAAATGAAAATAATACCTTCTCACCAGTTTATGAATCAGATGTAGTTTCTTCTTCTAGTCCATGCTGGAAAGAACTTTACAGTAAATTACATATTTATTTATCGATTTTCACACAACAAATGTTCAATTTCTTGAATTTAATTCTACCTATTTATTTTATTATTGTTGTTATTAATCAAATCAGTAAGAGAATCTACTTTATGTAATGGTGATTCTGATGCAGAATTACAATTACAAGTCAAACAATACAAAAAGGATGGAGGTATGATAATAATCATCATTATAATTAGTTAAATAATTTATTAGTTAATTATTAAAATTTTTAATCATAGATAGTAAATAATGATAATGATAAAATGATAAAACCAATGTTTTCATTCAGAACATATACTTCTTGGAGAATGCTCTGTTACACTTCGAGAGATTATGGGAAGAAACAAAATATTTCCATTGAAACTTCAACCTGGCTCACAGAGAAAAATTTCAAAAGATGCAAACATAACAGTTGTTAAAGCTTTGGTACCCCCAAGTTTTTTGGATTATATTGCAGGTGGCACAAAAATTCGTCTTATGGTAGCAATTGATTTTACAGAATCAAATGGTGATCCTAGAAGTCAAAGAAGTTTACATTATAGTGGCGGAAGAGAAAATGATTATCAACGAGCCATCAGAAGTGTTGGAACAATGTAAATATTTTTAGATTTGTAATATCTTGCTTTTGTATATTTATTAATATTAATATTAACATTAACATTAATCTTTGAGATATATAGTTTAGAAGCATATGGTTATGATAGATTATTTTCTGTTAGTAGAATCATAAATAGTTTATGATGAATGATAATCAAATAATCGGAAGAAACATAATAACAATGACCATTGTATTTAATCATTAGGTTTATGGATTCGGTGCAAAATTTAATGGAATATTGTCTCATGCTTATCCTCTTAATAATGATCATCAGAATGTAAGTATTTTCTTCTTATTAATATTAAGATATGTACATATTCACTTATGTATATATTATTCATTTATAGCCACAAGTTGAAGGCGTAGAAGGCATGTTGTCACTATATTTACAAACATTAAATACTGTTGAATTATATGGACCAACCAATTTTTCTCCAGTACATTTTTTTTTTAAATTTCATTATCTTTTCAATTTGAATCTTATCTCATATCAATCAATATATCATCTAATCATCTAATTGTCAACTTGTAGATTATAAAGCTGACAGCTAACAAAATTGAATCAGAATTAGGAACAGGGAACGTAAGTGCCTATTATATATTATTCATAATCACAGGTAATAATAATATTAGTAATAGTATAACTAGATGATCTAAAAAAATTCAAACTTATTAATTCATTAATTCATTTGTTTACCAACTAATCAATTAATAATAATTATAATTCTTGTTAGATGGTGTGATAACAGATATGGATTTAACAATTCGTTCTATAATTAATGCAAGTTCACTTCCACTTTCAATTGTTATTGTTGGTGTTGGTGACGCAGACTTCTCATATATGGCTAGGCTTGGAGGTCCATTAGTTGTAAGCATATATTATATTTGATTAAAAATCTTTGGATCATAATTATTTATTTATTAATAATTTTTTTGGCATAGTCGAAATCTGATGAAGCATTATCTGGAACAATTGGGAGAAGCATAGTACAATTTATAGCTATGAAAGATTATCAAGCAGAAGCAGCTGGATATTCATTGCCAAAAGTATTACTAGAAGGAATACCAGATAAATTTTTGGACTACATGAATAAAAACAAGATTCCACCAAAATCAATAAACAAAGAAACATAGACTAACTACAAGTTGATTTGTTAAAACATCCAATGAAACCACCACCAGCTTATGCACATGATACACAGTTAAATGCTAATTTGTTATACCTCACTCAATTAGAATATTATTTATTAATTTATAGATTTACTTTTTAATTCTTATTTTTAATTCTTATTATATTATGTTCATCTTCAAAAGAAAATACAGCAAGTGTCCTTATATTTTTTTTTTGACCAGGATGCATATATTAATATATAAAATAAACATTTCACTATTATCAAAATTGAAAAAATGGATGATTCATTCAAAGTTTTTTTTCCCCAGGATTTTTAAATAATTGATTTTTTTTTATAAATGTTATTATTGTACTTATGTTGGGGAATCAGGATTTATAATATTTTTTTATTTACCCTCATTGGTGAATGGTGGTGCTTTTCATGATTACTTTCCAAGGACCACCTCTAAGTGAATGCTCTCATTCATTCCCAAGCTTGGGGATTAGAGATAAATGCACACCTCTCCCCCTGCACTACATAGCTTTTTTCATTTCCATATATAACTCTCTCAAATGCATACCCGGGACTTTCACGTGATCGTTGCCCAATAAAAATCGTGTGACAGACGTTATTTTTCCTTTGTTGTGTATATAGAAAAAAATTAAAAAATTGATTTTTTGTAAGAGTTGATAAAGAGTTGAAGTTTTATACTTAGTAAATGATGGTAAAGAATATAAAGAATCAAATTTATTATTAGTATATAAGAGATGATAAAGAATCATTCTGTAACAGGCAAGTAAGGAATTGTTTACTTTATTAAGTGATAGGATAATAAAGAGAATTCTTTCTTTTTAATAGATACGAAGCTTATCAGAACAAAAGAACAAGAAAGCAGATAGAAAAGCCTATATAGTTGAAATTATTATAAATAAGACATGAATCAAGAATTTTTATTTCATTAAAAAAATAACTTATAAATATAATATTTTTTTTAGTGTTCACATGCAACCAATGAAATCTAAGTACATGCTATCACTCATTCCCAAAGAGGTGCATTTAGAGGGGGTTGGCTCCTTTGGAGATCTTAGTGTATCGAAAAATTCATAATCATCATTTCTTTGTGTTTTTCATCATCACTCATTAAATTTTTTCTATATAATTGTTCCACTGATCATTTTGTCCTAAGCTGCATAAATAAAATCAATAGATACAAGCTATTTATCATATTAAAGCTTGGAAAATCCTATATACAGGAGGAAGGTCTTGTATATTTAGGATCACCCTTAAAGCTTCGTTGATCATAGTTATCAATTCGTCAACTTCAAAAGAGTAGATGGTACTCACATTGTATCAGATCTTTGAAGTCTGCATATGTAGCCATCCAGAGCATCCATTATAGTAAGCTTACAACTATCATTGCAAAATATGGTGAGCTCTGATATTGAGCACCATCATATTTTCAGAAATACACAGTGAGTCTCGGTATAACGGATATGTTTGTTCCAGGAAATTTATCCGCTATACCGAGTCATCCATTAAAAAAATCATATTATTCTTTAAAAACAATGCGTGATTGATTCAATCATTAACACCAAAGGAACAAAATTAATTATTTCGAAATAAAAGCTATTTGTTTGTTTATTTATTAATGTATGTTTTCTATTCGTAATACAATATTACTTTATATTCGCTTTATTTGTTTTATTTGTTTATTTGTTTTATTTGTTTTATTTGTTTATTCGCTCAAATTATTTGAATTACTTGAATTATTTTTTACTCAAATTATTCCTTTTATTCGAATAGAAACCTTATCTACTTACTACTCAAGGTTATGATATTGTTTTTAGTATTGCAATTAAGAAAGCTCACAAAGAGCTTTATTGTTTTACAATCTTTAGACGATTTAAGAAGGGGTATTTCTTTCTTGTAGTAATGGTAATAATAATATTATTTAATTCCACCACCACCACTACCAAAAATTCGTTGTCCGTTGTAATTATTATATTAATAACGTTTTTTATATTCATTTTATCATGTATTTATTAACATTACTTGTTAAATATTTGGTCAGCACTAGGTAAATATCGAAAAAAGACGATAGCCACCGGATCCGTTGTCTTTAGTCGATAAAAGTATCTTGAACACAAGAGTTATCTTTAGTTGATAAAGTTGTCTCAAAATCGCTTTACCCTACAAAAAGTGTCCAAGTCTAGAAAATTAGTTTATAATTAATTAATCCGAATGTATATCAATATAATAATAAACAATTTGAATCTCATGTATTTTAAAGATACCTTTTTCTTGAACAAAGAAAATAACCATATTAAATAAAACCTAAAAGTCATTCACTGGTAAAGCTTATTCACTCAATTTATTTTATTGCGATCAATTATTTCGCTTTCCCGTCTAATAACAATAACAACAGTAATAACTATCTCTTAAACGGTCAGAGTATTCTTTAATGGGAACACAAAGTTAACGATCAGCAAAGTAAAAACAGTCAATCGACCAACTTTTAAAGAAGATTTTACAAAAACCACAAGTACAACAACTGGATTTTTATTTATAGAAAAAAATTTTTTTATCAATAAGTTGGGACGCTCTAGGAAAATCGGTTTCGAGACTTTTTGATCAAAAAAATTTTTTTACTTGGTTACAAAAATAAATTCTTGAGGCAACAAAATTTTCTTTGAATCGAATTTAAAAAATGATCTACAAACTCAAAATAATTTAATAAATTTAATAGTCACGGATTAAATTACTTAAATATTAAGAAAATGGAGTGAAAATTTTGGCCGACTTATTGAGTAAACCGACTTATCGAGTGACCGACTTATCGAGTTTACATATGTACTAATTCATAATTTTTATTATAACTTTAACCTTTCTATAAAATATAAATTTTAAAAGGAAAATGGATACATGCCTTATTATTATTAATCAATATCGTAGTTATCCACAAAAAATATCCGCAATCGCCAAATCGATTTCTAAATAAGGATAACATGCACCCAACCCAACCAATAAAATTGGATATTCTCATGATGCTGCGCAAAATTGCGGATATTTTTGCGGAAAAATACATGATTATAATCGTTTTCACAAAAAAAAAATTTTTTTTATATATTACTACGAGTCGATCATTCAAATTTATTTTATTGCAAATTATTTTGCTCGCGACCAATAATTATAATAATTGGATTTTTATTTTTATAAACATCAATAAATACGAATCAATAAAATACAAATCAATAAATACAAAAATTTCAAAATTTATTTTATTATTAAAAATTATAATTTGTGTTCTCGGGATTATGAAAATATTATAAAAACTTACCAAATGGTGGCACCTCCTAGCTAACAATGGCAATTCTTTTCGATAAACTGGAAGAATTGCCAAGAAACCAGTAAAAAGAAAGAAAACGATAGTTGAATAAAACTTGGAACAAGAAAGGGAAGATTTAAAATTTTATAAAAATTAATGTTAACCGGTGATCAAATCCGGTGATCAAAAAGATCAGAAGTGGGGATTAAAAGGAATTCAAAAGGGTATCGGTCCACAGTTCTACTCTTACTGAGAGAAAAGAGAACTGACAAGAGAAAAGCAGGATCGAAGAACTACAAAAAAAAATTTTTTTATAAAAGAAACGATGAAAAATGTGAACGATATAAACAATATATAACAATAAAAAAATACAAAAAACTTAGCTAATTTCCAAGAAAGCCTTTCGACTAAAGAAATAAGAAGTACATAAAATTATTATTAATAAATAAGAAAATAAAGAAATGACAACAAAATATAAATAAATAATAAAATAATCCCGAGAACATTTCAAAATTAAAGGAAAGAGGGAGGAAATTGATAGCGAAATTTTATGAGAAAAAAATAATAATAATAACAATATTCCAATAAAAGGGGGCTATATATATATGTACGCGAATATACTGATCGGCAGAAATTATTAATTAATTAATTTTTTTTTTTAATATATGCATGTCAGCCAGAACTAACTTGTTAAGACGATGCTTTGATAAAACAAAATACACACGATAAACCGGTATTTTTTTATTACCTACTCGTTATTATGGGAACAAATCAGATTTTACATGGTGCGAACTTTGATTAAAACTTTCAAAGGGCGTTTTTAACAAGGGTCAAAATTTGGTTTTAACTTTTTGAAGTTCCATTTTATCAATCACTTTTTTCTCTTGAAGATAAGTTCTTTTTTGTTTCCAAATGAGAGAAAAAATTCTATTGGATGATAATATCGATCAGGGAGATAAGGGGGTTACTTAGATTGCATAAAAAAATTTTTATCTTACATCAGTATTCAGTGTTAAATTGGCTAACGTGATGATTACGTTATTGCGGGAATCAGTCGGATTTTACATGGTGTGAACTTTGATTAAAACTTCCAAAGGGCGTTTTTAACAAGGGTCAAAATTTGGCTAACTTTTTTATCCATAGAAGTTCCATTTCATCAATCACTTTTTTCTCTCTTATTCAATTGAAGATAAGCTCTTTTTTCTAAAAAAGATTAACATTTTTGCTTGGGCGGTCCCAAAGAGAGAATATGCGATTGGATGATATTGATCAGAGAAATAAGAGGCGTTACTTAGGTTGCATAAAAAAGAATTTTATCTTACATCAGTATTTAGTGTTAAATTGGTTAACGTGATTACATTATTGTGGGAACCAATCAGATTTTACATGGTGAGAACTTTGACCATCAAAACTTGCAAGGACGTTTTTAACAAAAGTCAAATTTGGTTTTTGCATAATAGAAAATTCTTCCACTGCTTTCACTTCTTTTTTGTAAAAAAGGATTACCATTTTTGCATGGGCGGTCCCAAATGAGAGAAACATTCGATTGGATGATATTGATCAGAGAAATAAGAAGCCTTACTTAGATTACATCAGTATTTAGTGTTAAATTGGTTAAAGTGATTACATTATTGTGGGAACCAATCAGATTTTACATGGTGAGAACTTTGATCATCAAAACTTGCAAGAGCGTTTTT